AGATAGGTCTTTATGGAGGAAAAGATTCCAAGACTTCAAAGATTTCTAGTAGGAATTTCGATGCCTTCTGTGGCATCCAAGGACTTCCTTAATTGGTCCTCCATAACTCCCCAGCCACGTCTCCTATTACTCCCAACATAACCCACCTACCCACTCCTTTTGGACTAGTGTTCCATATCCTTGAAAAATCCACTTGTTATCCTATCTCTGATTCCTCTTCTCATATGGCATTCTCTACTGGGCATCCTCCCCCTGGAAAAAACTGAACCCTTCTGTCTGCTTGGTAAAGTGTATTCTCATCTCCTCATGAAATCTTACCTGACTTTGATGTAGTCATATTCTTTCCTATTACACATAAAAGCATTTCAAACAGGACATTCAGAGAGACACTAGCACTATTTTGTCATATTTTTTAGTGGTTTGTTGTGTTTTTCTTACGATGCCAAAAACGTAAGTACCTTGAGGAAAAAAAAAATTTCATAAATTTATTTTATTTATTCCACAAAACCTAGAAAAGTGTCAACCAAAGCAAAATATAAATGGTCAAAAATACTTTCTAAATTAAACTATTTTGCCAGTGCCTTCTTTGGTTTATCTGATGTGCAATAAATCCACCTTTATGAAATTTTAAAAGTTCAAATAACCAGAGGAGAAAACACTCTAACTTCGGTCAGTTAATTTACTAACTGAAAGTCTGTAGTACTATATGTGAAATAAACTAGCTTGGTAAAATTTGTGAATGTGAAGAAAATGTGAACCATGGAATAAATTATACATTTGGTTTATAAGAAGGCTGTGAATGAGGTTCTTGTACTTAGTAAGCAGTAAGAAAGCAGTATATTGTTCAGAGAGGGAATGTAATTTAGAAAAGTACAAGTTTGAAAATGAAATGAGAATAATTGAATAGCCTTTTTTGTAAGGAAGTAAAATACACACAGCAGTCAAGTAAATGATGAGGATTATGCTTCTGTGTGCACACACACACACATTTATTTTAAGTGTGAATAAGATAGCAGAAATAGCAGTTGGGGAAATGAACTTTTCATAATGATTAGACACTTTAACTTCAGCACTCTTCTTATTTCTTCTGCCTTATCTATTTCCCTCCCACTATTATTTCTCATCCACTATTATTTCTCATGCTGTTCCTCTAGTTAATCTCTTCTGTCTAGTTTTCTACACTCACGCCTTTCTAACAAACAGAAACTCCACATACTTTACACACACACACACACACACACACACACACACACACACACACAAATTGTTTCCTGCATTTTGTGTTCAAAGCATAAAACCAATTATCTACAGGGCCCCTGAAAATGACAACATTACTTTACTAGACTAGTGAGTGGTTTTGAAACTTTTGCTCTTGAACCCCTAAAATAATTTTGATATCAAAAAAATAGACTTTGTGCCAGTTATAAAATAAAGTTAGAGCCTCTCACCTCTAAATCCATCTTCTTTGCCTGCTCTGCTAAAATGGGGCTGGGCCCTTTAAAGATTTTTTCTTTATCAGCCAGCATGATGTTTATCTTTGCCAGCTGAGGGCACAGGAGACAGAACGCAGAAGGAAAAGGTCTTTCCTTTCTGGTTTCAGAATGCTTGCTTAATAAGCTCCTCCAGCGCTTGCAGCATCTTTCACATCCAGATCCCACAGCCCATGCAGTTTCTCCACTCCAGCCTTTTGCAGTGTGTGCAGCTTCTCTAGTGCCAGGCTCCTGTTACGTAACTGGATTCTCCTGCACCCATCTACTCCCGTGTATGCAGCTCTTCCAGCACCCAACTCCTGCAGCGCACATAGCTCCTTCTGCATCCAGCTTAGGAAGCATAGTCTGCTTCCTGGCTACATGTATGGCTTCCTCAGTGTCAGGTGCTGCTCTCTGTGCACAGCGATAAACAGCACCCAGCAGCCAGCAGCTTCCCCTGGCACTCCACTCAGATGGTTTGGTAGTGAAGTACCTCCACTGAGATGCCCTGCAAACAGCTTTCCACAGCATCCCAAAGGGAAATTTCCAACAAATTTCAGATTTCAGAAAACCTCCAGGAAGTTGCACCATCATGACACTGTACCAACTTCTCTGCTGTTTAGTGGCTACAGCCATGCCCTCTCCAACAAGGTCTAGCCCTCAGCCCTGTGTGTGCATAGGGATGCAGGGGATCCTTGGGCTGTCTATCTCAGTCCCAGGAATCATGATTTTTCTTATATCTGCGATTCCTGTATTCCTTAGAATTTCTCTTCATTTCTTACCACCCAAACCCTTGTTACCACAATCTTCTCTTACAGTTCATAATTCTGTAAATTAAACTTTACCATTCAAAATACTGTATATTCTGTGTCGTGACTGGGTGCTGACACATGCTCCCTCATACATTTTAAATTAAGTTAAAACTTCTTACCAGGATTTTTTTTTAATTGCAAAAGATTAATTTTCTGGTGCTTTGTGTATTTTATACATACTTAAAATGTGTATTTGTTAAAACCTTAGAGCTACATATTTAGATCACTTAGCAGATGAATAAGTCCACCATATAATTTACAAAGCCAGTCCTCACTGTCAAATTAATCAACCAAATCAGATGTATTCTGTGTCTGAAAAAAACTTCCATTTATTTCATTTTTTTACATTTGAATAAAGATGTGAATGCACATTCTCATGGCAACCCTCTCACTTAAGTAGGCTAGTAAAAAATAAATGGACAGACAGCAGGTAGAGAGACAGACAAGCAGACAGGCAGGGAGGTGGACTGTGCTGTGCCAGGAGCCTTGCCAAAGTGAAATACTATTTCACTGTTTTTTACCAACGCATTTTTACCTTGCTTTCAATGAGTCTCTCTAAAGTAATGCATTCACAAACTTTCATTTTGTTTGATGCCCTGGAAATTGTACCCCAGGGCCATACATGGTAAGATTTGGGCTAGGTGAAAGCTATGTCATCTTTTCTGAAGTGGAAGAAGGGCGGTCATGATAGAGGAGATGGGGAGGAAGATGCAGCCAACCACAGACTCTCAGACATATTAGTTTCAGGAAAATGCACATACAGAAATTGGCACTAGACCAATGAGCTACTCTACTACATTCACTAGTGAAGGATACAGCAAGGAATTTTTCCCCAAAATAGACAAGAAAACAAGTAAAAAAAAAAGCAAACAATTAAAAAAAGAAAAAAAAGTAGAATAAAAGTATTAAACCACATTTCTTATAAATGGGGAAAATCAAAGCTCTCCTTGTAAGTACAGAAGTAGACAAAATAGAGGCAATATCACATCAAATGTGAAACCTGACTCCCACTAGCACCTATGTTTGGATAAGGGTCTTGCTTTTAGGATTTGTGACTCAAAAATTTCACATGGGTTAAATCCTTCATTTACAGTGGTTCTGTTTCTTATTTAAAACAGTAAGTTTTCCTTAGATCCCATTCTTCAGTGAATCACATGATAGAAAAGGAGATGGAGAAGCTGAAGCAAAAAGTAAAGGGGATGCAGCCAATTTCTACCATTTGGGATATTAACAAGTTTAACATGGCTCAGCAACTTTATCTTAAGTGTTACATCATAACTATTTTAGCTTACGCCATTACCATTATGGCATAAGCTAAAGGTGTTGAAATATTATATAAGGAGTGTGTTTTCTGAGAGGAAAAGGGTGACAATTTGAAGGGTCGGTTTTTTAACAGGAGGAATACATAAGAATTCAGAACAGATTCTCAACTCATGCTAATCTTCAATAATGTTTGCGCAATGTAAGAAAAGTTTTAAATCTTTTTTTTTTAACTTCAAGGAATCTACTGTTTCCTGTTATTTCTAGAAAATCGGTAAATGCTGGTGTTTTAAGAGAAGAACATTTATGGAGAGATATTAAGTGTGTTTTAACTACAAGTATCAGATCCTTATTTATTTCCCCTAAGAAACTCTGTAATTCTGTTTTAAATAAATGGCATTTCCTTTTTTTTTTTTTTTTTTTTTTTGAGACAGAATCTTACTCTGTCACCCAGGCTTGAGTGCAATGGCGTGGTCTTGGCTCACTGCAACCTCCACCTCCCAGGTTCAAGTGATTCTCATGCCTTAGCCTCCCGAGTAGCTGGGACTACAGGTGCACACCACATCTGGCTAATTTTTGTATTTTTAGTAGAGAAAGGGGTTTCACTATGTTGGCCAGGCTAATCTTGAACTCCTGACCTCAAGTGATGTACCCACCTTGGCCTCCTAAAGTGCTGGGATTACAGTCCTGGGCCACCACACCCAGCCAATGACATGTACTCCCAATAAAGGTCCCTGCCTTCTTATTCCCCCAAATCAGCAACCCATGGGAAGTATAGGACTTGTGGAATTTTCTCCACTTAGATAAATAAATCTCTGGTAAAGATTTTCCTTTCTTGAATAAGATCCATAATCTCCAGAGTACACTATCTGAATAAACCATTTCAGTCAGAAAGTCCAATATGCTGCCTACTTTATGGCAAACTGTTAGAATCTTTAAAATAAAGATTCTGAATCTATGCAAAAACTTTTAACCTCATATTACATTTTGCTTACCTAGGTAAAGGTACGTTCCCATATTACATTCAATACAGGTACTTCCCTTCATTGCAAAAGTATTATCTACTTGGTTGAAATGATTCAATGTGAAGGATATACATGAAGAACTTTTCATTATGTTCGAATAAATATTTAAGGCCATCATTTGAAGATTTAAAAAATCAGTAACTGCATAAACATTTCTGTGCTTGCCAAAATCTCTTTCATAGCTCTGCTAAGCACCATGGTTATTGATATGAACAAGTTAATATTGGGTATTTTAAAGATCCAAGTAGTGTAAAATCAGCCAGTCTGTCACACTGGTAATTTATCATGCAATCAATAATAACTTTTGTTTTGTGGGGGGCAAATGGAAATAGAAAACAAACAGAAGAAAATTCAGCAATGTAAGATGAACGAGCAATAACTAGTTTGTTGCCATCTGTGATATAGCCATACCTACAAGTTTTCAACATACTTACTTAAACAATGGAGTTCCACAAACAACACATTTATATATTCCAGGATCTTTGTGATGTGTGTATTCTCCTTCGAAGGCACTGATAAATAATAAACAGATCATTTAAAACATAAAAATTAGCACTATTTCTTACAGAATGTATTTGCTTAAAATATATTTCTCTAATAAATGTTTCAAGGGCTTTTTGTCCTAAAATGAGAACAAACCAAACATATGGAAATCTGAACTTTACTAATATATTTCAAATCTATATAATAAAATGTACATATAACCACTACAAACTAGTGCAGTTTACATAAAAATATATATATCAAGCCATCTAGTTATGCAATGCTTAGAAAAAGACTTTTTTTCTATTTTTAAAAAGAAAGCCTGTAGTTTAGATTCACAGAAAGACCATTACATAAGATTTTGCTACTTTACAGTGTGCAAGAGTATACATCAGAAAATGCAGACAGGTCCAAGACTTCAAGTGGAAAGAGTCTTATTTTTTGGTTTGAAAAGGAATATTGCAGCTTTAAGGGAATATTTTTCTAAGTTAACAATCTTAAAGGCTAGGAGGTCATTCAGCTAATACAAATCAGCTGTGCTAGCCCAACAAAAAGTCTATGTGCTCTGCAGCTTGTTTTTATTATCCTTTCACCCTCTTTATGAGGTCCAATTTTTTTATAAACAGAATTTTTAAGAATGACCTAATCTCTGGTTGTTTGTGTGCATTAAATCATTTTGCTAGTCATGTACACAACAGAACGAATAGAATCCTCACAAGCTGAGACTGAAGTCCACTGCTAGCTCATTGTATGCTAAGGATGGACTTCGTCAGAGATTCAGCATTTGGTAAATTCAGTAAACAGCAGATACTGTGACAGGAAGAGAGTGTTGCCTATTAACAGGGATCCCATGTGTAGCAGAGAGCTCTTTCAGTTCATGAATGAAAACAAGAAGTTACATCATTAATAAATTTGGATCAGAAGTAAGCTACGGTCTTACGCCAAGCTCCATGGTCTAAATTAGACAACAAAGTCATTGGACCTTGGCAAGTTACCTTTGAGCTGAAATCAGCTGAGAGAGGCTTTATTCACTAAAAACAGTCTTGGAAGTGAACAAACTTTTTTTCAGGACTTAGGGCGAACTTCCAAAGACCAAAGCCATGTGAGGGCAGTTATTGAAAATTTTTGACATTCCAACCACAAATGAGCCAATAAATACTTTCTCCACATGTGCTTCAAAAAGAAATTGGAGTGGGGTAGAAAAGAACTAAATTATGCTACCTTCTTTTTGCAGCCAAAACGTCTATACTTACAATGGCCACCTTCAAAATTTCAGCATCCTGGCATAGTGCCAAGTCCCTCATGGTTTTGCTTACTGTGATGTCTTCCCAAAAAATGTACCTAAATCGCTATTACTTCCACACATTTTGTAGTAAACTAAAAACAGGCCCTTAACAAAAGCTTTGTGACTTTACATCAGATATAGAGTGTTCATTAAAGGGAGAAAAAAAACAAGTAAAACTCAGTCTTAACCTAAACAATACCGTTTCAACCTTTACTAATTTGTAGACTTTAGCAAGTAAGTATAAAATTCTCTAAATTAATTGGCAAGGAAGAGGATTGCAGGGGGCAGGAGGAGAAGAAATCTACCTCTTACTTAATGACTTTTTATTAAAGCTCACCTTACCTTTCGGTCCCTTTCTCCTGAGTGACATGGTACTGCAGGGGTGTTAGCCGCTTCCTCAGTTCCTGCTGGGAAAAGACCACCTTACAGTTCTTTTTATCCCTACATGACCCTGAAAAGAGAGAGGATATGGGAGAAGAAGGCTTTTTAGCTTGAATCCTAAATAATTGCTTTGGCTGGCCGCCACAGCACAGCTTCTGCAGTCACTTGTCAATGACCAGACCAGTCTCCAACGCACTAGAAATGCTTACCTGAACTGCAGTTCATTATTTCTCTAAGTTTAAAAAGAATGTTTCTTAAAATTCAGATGATTCCACTGGAGCAGTGACAATACGCTATTGCCAAAGTCTCTAGCATGTGATACTAAAAACTCACTGATCATTCACAAAATACGTCCTTTATATCTCTCAGTATCTTGAAAACCTTTTTTTTTCAAATAGTTTCAAAAATATAAGTCTATTTACAAGCATTTACACTGTATATATAAAATGGTGGGCATATTAAGTTAAACCATAAGTCTGCAATAATTTTGCAACTTAGTAGAATAGCCTAAAACCATTCAAATTCAATTTCCATTCTGGATGATTTAACTACCATCCTATGTTTTGAACCCTAAAAATATATTTTTCTATGACCAGGAATTGCTGTTCTCCATGATTCCATCAGAAACTTCACTAGATTCTGTATACATAACTCTCTCTTTAAAGACTGTATCTTACCATGTGAAATGGGCAGCAAGAAGCTTTGAACAAACTACAGGAGAAGGCACTTTCACTAATGTAGATTCAAGAAGTTTCAAAGAAAGTGATAAAAATAGAAAGGGAGAAAGACAAAGAAAAAAGAAAACGTGAATATGATTTTTAGAAAGCTACATTTTCTTTTTGCAAAGTATATTTAGGAAGACTTCACTGATTAAGTGTATTTGAATAGTGAAATAATTCTAATGTGATTCTAATAACAATGGCAGCTTTTATTTCAACCTATACAGCCTGCAGTAAAATGTTCAGACAACACCTGTTTATATGCAGTATTTTATTTTACCTGAGCAAATGACTGAAAAGAAATATAACTCCAGGACAGGGCAGCCATTACTCACTGCAGTAAAATTGCTTTTCTTTGCCATCCATCACAGTGGGAAAGAAGCCTGCAGATGGTCCTAAATGTAAAGAGTTCTTGGCATGTTTTGAAGTTACTGGAAGAAAGCTTGCTTAGTTTCCTAAATATTAAACAACTCCTTTTGAAACATGAAGAAATACGATTTAGGAGTGGAAATGCTTCCCACTTTTTTTGCTTTCAAGGTACCTAATGTCATAGCATGAGATCGCTGACCTTAAACTAGGAAAACATTATCTAGCCGGTTACCCTGACTGTGGGGTTGAAAAAGGATATCAGCTTGCAGAATCAGGGCCACCAAGATAGAGTGGCTGATTCTCCACAAGTGAAAACGGAGGCAGCAAAAGAGCAAGCCAGAGCCAAACAGCAAGATACACCTTGGAATGGGCCTGCAGGTTGTCAGACAGCACCTCTGCTGACCTTCCACAAATGCTTCGGCCCTTCCCTGGCCTGGAAAAATCCACAGGCACAGCTGGCATGTCACTAACAGTATGTTGATCTCTCATCTCACTGGCCCCCATCTTACTCTAGGCTTTATCCGAATACCTACAACTCGTATTTTTGCTGTTGTTGACGGGTTGGGTAGAAATGTTTCCCTGAGAAATGTCTGTCCTGTCAGAACAAGCCTCTCAATACCTTTAATGCAGAGTGGCTCTTTCTTAAATAATCAGTCCACAGTGATAGGTGAGTTTCTGCTCAATTCAGTGCAGACTTCTTAAAAATTGTTTTATTTTCATTTATTTGTTCAAAGGGTTGTCTCTTAGTTAACATTGTCACAAAATCACTAATTGCAAATACAACATGAAAAACAACTTGGTTAAAATTGTTCTTTCCAATGGCATAATTAAAATATTTACAATTAAAATCAAACAATTCTATCCAAAATATTTTTGTTAATATATGTTCATTCATACAAAAAGACCAATTGTGTTCCCAAAGTTGAGAGAACTAAGCTACCCATCTGTATGTCATTTAGTACAAGAGAAGCAACTGCAGGTTTAAATTACATGGTATTGGATTGCAATTTCCTAACATTGGATGCTTTTCTGCTTTTTTACCTTGAGTCATTTACTAAGGAGTGTTCATAAAAAGTAGCTTAAAGCACAGATGCTTGCAAATCGTTTAGGCAAAGATGTTTCTCTCTTTTTCATTCTCCCTCTCTCATGAATCTCTCTTTTCTGAAGAAAGAGAATAAAACTGTTGGTCAGTATTGATGAACCATGTCAAGTATTTGTACAAGAAAAAAAGGTAAAATTGAAAACATCTGATTGAAGTAAATAATACAAACATAAAAGCTTTACTAGTGAATGACGGGTATTGAAGAGACTTTATTTCACAGATTAGAAATTACTTTTGATCTAAACATTCTTAAAAACAGATTGTTTTCCACTACGAAACATCTCATTAACTGTGCTACAGAGACCTCGTTTTAATGGCAAGCCTTGAAAGAGTGCTGCTGTACTCCTTTGTTAGTCTCCGTCTTATTTGGGAAGGGAATAAAGATTTCATTCCAGCTTTCTTTGTTTGTCTTTCAAGAACCACTAAAGCAGTATTCACACAAATTTTGTAGGAATGTGCCCTATGTCATAGCCTACAAATTATTTGGTTTTGGTGCACTTAAAGGTCATCTTCCAAATTAGCAAAATTTTTCTACATCCTGGCTTTTCAACCTTAAATATAAATATTGTTTCCTAACTGTAAGTGAGGTTTGTCCTTTAAGAAATAACCAGTGATTATTTAAAGTTGTCAAACTTTGTACATTTTCATTCTTTGGTTATACTATATTCTCAAAGTAATTAGGTTTTTAAAGTATGTCTAGTACTGAAAGGAAATATATGTAGACTAGAAACAACTATTGTGACTTTACGTTAAACAACTCAACGAGAAGTTAGTCAGATTTTAATAAATGTCTTGCTACACCATTTAATAATAATGTACTTCCTGGACAATTGCAAGCTGTAATATTACATTAGCTCTTCTATCATCAGAACCAAATATTGGCATATATAAACACAGAAAAGCTTCACTTTGTCTCTGATTTCCTTTTTTCCTATCAGACTCACTTTTCTAAAGTCATATGGTGCCACTGTTAATCTTGAAAAAAATCATTTCATTTTGAAATTCTAGAGTAATTCACTGGACGGTTTCCCTTTACTATCTTCACTTAGGTACTGTAATTTTCTTATTACACAGGGTAATTTAACATTAGTATTACATGACATCTGTTCCATGACCTCTAAATTGGCTTAGAAGTATGTTTGGGAAAGATTTTTCCTTTTATTTAAATATTTAATAGTGTCTTTTGAAGGCACAAGTGAGTATGTGTTTACACATGTAACACAAGTACATATTTGAGGAGATAATACTGCCATTTAAGTATCTAATCATAACACCATTCCCTACAGAGTAACTTTGGGAGAGATCAGAACCATCTTGAACCCAGTCCAAGTGTATTTTATTTGTTGAAATATGCCCAAAGTCTCTTTTTATATAGAGTCTTGTCCTGTGTTGTTGCCTCAAGGCCAGTATTGTTTCAAAGCCCCAATATGAAGCTCCTGCTATTAGTACAAGTATACCTACAGCAAGAGTTTGCTTTCTGGCTCTGCCTGCTTCCCAGTCATGTGACCTGAGACAAGTCAGCTTCGCTATGTATTGCCATCCTCACAGATCTCCTGTAAGGATCATAGCCATTAGCAATTACTTCATTTTGATTACAGTGAATTCTGAGGTTAAAACTGTCTTTTAAAAGATAGCCAGGTCCAGGATTTCAGTGTGCTGCAATCTTTTATTGGTATTTCTTTTTCTGTAATATTTCCCTGGGAACAGTATTTTCCTCACACTTTGTCTTTTTTTTTTTTTTAATGGTTAAAGTGGGAAGTGAAGGAAGAAAATAAAACTAAAATTTGAGTCCTCCTACATGCCAGGCGCATGACTAGGCACTTTCACATAAATACATTTAATCCTCTCAATAATTCTAGAAGGTGACTGTCATGCCTGTTTTAGATACAGAAACTGAGGTTTGGTGAGGTTATAACATACCTTTCTAAGGACAAACAGCAAGTAGACATATCAATTCAAACCCAGGGCTGTCTGACTGCCCTAGTAATATTTTCTTTTTCTAGTCGTATACTTTCTTTTTCCTTTTTCTTTTTTTTTTTTTAGAAAGAGTCTCACTCTGTCACCCAGGCTGGAGCCCAGTGGCGTGATCTCAGCTCACTGCAACCCCCGCTTTTCACATTCAAGTGATTCTCCTGCCTCAGCCTTAGCCTCCAGAGTAGCTGGGATTACAGCTACCCACTGCCACACCCAGCTAATTTTTGTATTTTTGGTAGGGACAGGTTTTACCATGTTGGCCAAGTTGGTTTCAAACTCCTGACCTCAGGTGGTCCGCCCACCTCAGCCTCCCAAAGTGCTGGGAATACAGGCGTGAGCCACCACACGCCCAGCCAGTCATCATATTTTCGATCAGGAAAAAATATGTTACAACTTCCTTCTTTCTTTTCCAACTATACAACAGCTTTCAGCTTAAAAACTAACAAAATAATAAGGGGGGGGAAGCAATAATCACCTCAGTACATCAGAAAAGTTACATACATTTATCTATTAGCCAATGTCTCTTTTCCCTGTATTTACTCCTTCAACATAGGGTCAGTGACAGATTTCATACGGGATTCTCACAAAGTCTATTAAACACGAAAGGCTTTTGAACTTCCTGTTAAGAAGTAAATTAGATCTGTTACCTAAATCTTACAATAGTTTTAAGTCACAAATTTTATATTTCGATGTGAAAAAACAAAACAAAACAAAACCTAAGGATCCCATAACTTTAATTTTGGTTCTTGGATCAGAAAAAATGAAACTATTAAATATTTTCCCAAGATAATAAATGAATAAAAGATAAGAATATCTTGCTTTGAGTTTAGCAAGTTAAAACAGTAAAATTCATGTTGAAATGTCTTCCTGCTATATTTAAAGGTGATATACTTTATTTTTCACTGT